AGAATCTTCTTGTGAGATGGTTATAGGTCGCACAATTGAATTTTTTTCAGGATCAGAGAACTCGTTCTCATTGTAATTACTGGGTAATACTTCTAGTAATGTATTCGATAATATAGGGAGTAGATTGAAAATCTAGTTGTTCTCGAGGCAGCGGTCGAATGAGTGTGGGCGTGGTGGCTTGACATCGCTAGCGGGTAGCCTCGTCCACACAACCTGCGCGGCTCCTGCCTTGGAGAATGTAGTGCTAATCTTAACTGATAGAGATTAATAAAGAGTTGCAGTTCTGTAGGACTAAATTGAATGAATTCCATGAAATCATGTTTTAGCCACAACGTCTCGAAGTTTCTGAAGCTTTACGGGTATTTTTGACGGGCGTTTGCGACTCACTTACCGATGCCGATGAAATTCAACGGGTGAGTAAATTTGATCAATTCTTGTGCTCCTTAGTTTTTTTATGAAATCATGAGTATTTGCTGAAACTGTATTTTTTACAGATGTCCGAGGAATTCGGATCGTCACATGTACCGTTCCGAAGTTTCGGCTTCAAACCGGACTTCTTTGCCTGCACTGCTGACGCAGTGACCACTGAGTGCACTTTTCTCGATCAAGCTACTCACACAGCAAGCGAAACTGCAGGGTCATGGTTGGTTCCATGCCTTCGAAAGTCTTATTGAAAAAAAGATCAGAAATCATTATTTCATCGGAGAAAACCTATTCAAAAGGACATTTTAGGCTAACAATACTAGAATGCGCTTACTATCGGAGACCTTTCAAACATCGAATTAGATTTGCTAAGTGGTCCTTCTCGAGTTTATGATTAGAAAAATAGTTGACACTTGGGGGAGAATCCAGGTAATGGAGAGGCGAGAGTGATGGTAGATCAGATACACCAGCCCTCGAGCTCATCGCGTTCATTTCAGATGATCTCATCATTGCCAGGGTACAGCATCGTTGTGTGAAACATATGGGGGTGTACTTTTTCTCTGGGAAGGGGGGAGGGGGTCGTTTTGGTCGTTGGGAGAGAGCGGCTTCGTGTACGGCTCCGCAGGGGAACTGTTGTCGCGTTGGCGTGAATGTTCCTGTATAATCGTGCACTATATCCCCCCGTCGGAAAATTTTTGAGTGAAAAACTGGACTGGAAAATGGGGGGAATTGGTAGGTGGGTGGTGGGAAAAACGCCGATGACGTAAATTGCGGACCGGATGTCGCGAGTACAAAGCAAAACTACTATTCGAACGACAACTGGCTCACGACTGGCATTGAGTAACGCTTTGATGGGGGGGTCGTATCCGATACGCTCATTTTAGGTGGGGGTCGTACTGGACAGCCTTCTCCTCGGAAGCGGGGGGGGGTCGTACTACACCACTACCTCACACATCACGATGCTGTACCCTGTATATTGCATGCTGTTCTTTTGAACAAAGGCACTAGGACAAGTACACCTCACAAATGCCCCTCATTTTGGAGGCAGACTTTGTGTGAATTTTCCGAGAACCCTTCTCCTTGCCATTTGCGTGCTTCACACCACACAACCAGCTATGCCCATCCATAGCCAAACACGCTACTCGTTTACACCCTCTCAAAAACACGACAAATACGTTTGCACCCTCTCACTTCTGATTGCTCTCTATGTCTGACTTTGTTGTTCTAAGCGGCATATCGTACTGACACAAAGTGGTACACTAAAGCTATATGGACGGGCTCCTGAACACTTCCCGGCTATCACCGCTTTTCAGCCTCGTTTTCGTGAGGTCTTGAGGGGCGAATATGTCACAATTACGATTGCTAACTCTCATCGCATATGGCAAGGGCCGTCTTCGGAGAAGAGTGTACAGCAGTTTTGCCTCTGTGGTGAGAGACAAGAGAACGAGAGTACTTAATGAGAAGCGGGGCTGCCCAACTAATCCCTTATGCTACGATCAGCGCGGAAATAGCCTTCCCATACAGCAACCGCACCTCTGAAGAGAAAAGACCACTGCTTCGCACTTAGCGTGGCAGAATCGGGCGAAATTCTGAAAAGTCGTTGAATTGGCAACCTGTATATGCCACCCACTGGAACTTCTATCCACGAGCCAGTTTTTTGATGACGCCGTTCCGCGAACTACGAAAGTTTTAGCGAGTTAGAAACACTTCTGAATACTGTCCTATCAGAGAATACCCGATCTCTTTTTCTTTTTTTTTTTTTTTTTTTTTTTTTTTTTTTTTTTTTTTTTTTTTTTTTTTTTTTTTTTTTTTTTTTTTTCTTTTTTTTTTTCTTTTTTTTTTTTTTTTTTTTTTTTCTTTTTTTTTTTTTTTTTTTTTTTTTTTTTTTTTTTTTTTTTTTTTTTTTTTATTAAAGGAGATTCAAGGAAACACACCTTCTCGATAAGTTGTGGGTACTCAATCAAACTGGTGCATTCGTTTTCACTGCAAACGCTGGTGTGTGTCACAAAGCTGGGCTTGGCGCGCGCCAGCCCGATTTCCATTGGTTCTCGCGTTGTCCGTCATAATTGGTGGAGGGCAGGCTGTCGCCGCGCTAAACCCAGCCCACACTGTCTCCTGACACACACCAGCTCTGCAGCAAAACGACTATCTACACTAATCTCTCGGAAGCAGCTATTAGGTTGATGCATATGTTTTCAACCCCGACTTTTTTGTAAATATCTCAAAAGCGAACCAGCCCGAAGATTAGAGGTATGCACCATCACCATCCACTACCTCGCGAGTTCCGCGCTCAGGCAGCTTGTATTCCACCTTATCCGAATACGGACTGGGCTGGTACTTGAAGAAGTTGTCGCGTGCCTTTCTGATCTGATCCTTTGTTTCGAACTTTTTTAAGTCCAGAGAGCGCTGCAGGTGGCTGAACAGCCAGTAGTCAGAAGGAGCGAGTCAGAACTTGTAGGGTGTGTGGCGGAAGTGGGCGATCGATCACCATGCGCCTTATCCTACTTCTCCAGCTCGGCCTGGGTCGCCTTTGCAGTGTGAGGTCGGGCGTTGTCATGGTGGAAGTAGATTTCCGCATTCGATCCACGAGTACGGTCGACGTGATCTTTCAATTTCCGCAGCTGGGTAACGTATGTGGAAGCGTCAATCGTCTGTCCCTTCTCCAGCAGCTCCCAGTACTCCATGCCTCTTCTGGACCACCAACAGGACAGGAGAACCTTTTTGGGGTGAAGGTCGGCCTTTGGGGTGGCTTCTGGCTGTTCTCCTTTGTCGACCCACTGCCGCTTCCTCACAATGTGTATCGGAGGACTCACTTCTCATCTCTGTGATTCATCGGAGTTTGAGAAAGTGAAGCTGTCTTTGTGTGAATCGTTGAAGCCAAAGTCCAGAGCAGTGGCGCAGTACATTCGTCAACAGTGGAAGTTGTGCGATATTGTGCCTGCAAATGCACAGGTGGTGAGTGATAACATAGTGTGATACAATAAAGAGTATAATGCACCCACAAACCCTCAACTGGACAACGAAATACCAACATCCATGAAACGAAATAACCGAAGGATCAAACACGGGTCGAAAAATATATGGCATCGAGACCAAGATAGATAAGTTGCTAGAAGACTAAGGCCCAATACGGCGGACGTTCATATTCAATTAGAATGATATGTTTAAGGCCGTTTCTCCGTTGTATGACAACCAGTCGCTCTTATGTACATATATGATCCATTTCCAGGTCGACATTGAGCGCATTTGTCTTTTCGGCTGTTCGTGATGGTTATTACACTGAGCTTCGACGGCAGCGTAAGAACAGTAATGCGTTCCGGAGTCGACCTTCTGTCGACGTCAGTTCCGATGGAAGCGTTGTGGATGGTGGCAGCAGAAAGTGAGTCGCTTCTCTTCTTAAAGACAGCTCCCGCGATAAAAGTGTCTTGGATAGTTGCTTTTCAATTATGAAACAGTAGCTGATAAGTAATCTCCCAAAGAAGAAAACAAGCAGGAAGCGTCCTCCAGAACAACATAAACAAAATCGCTCCCTCATAGTCACACCTCCCTGCGGTCTCTTGCAACCCTGCTCACAAAAATCACTTTGTCAATCATCTCAAGTAGTGTGATATCATCGAATGTCGAAAGAAAAGAAAACAATAAAAAAAGTTCGCAAAAACCGACGAAAAACTCCTGGAAGCAAAAAGATTTAAATGAAACTCTGTGTCGTATATTTGTGGGTTAATGTACCAGCGCACATTTTTAGTGGCAGCTGGAAATGCGTCAAGCTTTTTGCACCCACGAAAATGCGTCACTCGCTGAATTTTGACGCGTTTCAACCTCGCGACAAGTTGTAGTATGAATATCTCAGCCCCCATTGAGTAAACTGTAATAAAGGAGAGCAGAATTATCCATGGGCACGAGTGCGGTCAGCAAAAAGGAGATGCAATTCCGATTAATGCCCGCCGCCCCAACTAAGAACAACTGAGTGGCCTCGTCGGGGCATCTAGCAAGTAAGGCGGTCCAACTGAGCAGGCGTTAGAACTAGAACTTTGAGCGGCTGTAGCTCGCTCCTCGCTCACTGTGGAGTCGAATAGAGTGGGACAGTCTCTAGCTTGGGGGCTGTACTACTTGCACAAGGAAGGACGACCATGTACTACTCGAGCGCGGGGGCTGTCTTTAATTGTTCCCATTCTGCAGATTTATGGTAGATAGGACCACGAAGCTTGCTTGTCATAGCAGTGAGCAGCGCAGAAGACTTGGAAAAAATTCACAAAAACATTGATACTTTCGTTGATGTGCACCGTTTTGTCGCACTGTCACAAAAAAGAAAACTCACTTGCGTCCAATTCACGTCTAGAAGCATGTGAAGGTGGAAGTTGAACGACATATTTGTTCCAACCACACAAATGTTTTCTCAGTTCGAGTTGTCTCACAGATTACCGTTTGGTTCAGATCGGCCTCTCCAACTCCGGACGAGATCTCACAGAGCAGTGGACCGAAAGAGAACACTGCTAACTATCTGCTGCCACCTCAAGTTTATTGAATGATTCTGGGAGTTCATAGAATCGAGGATTGGTAAAGACGAAATTTCGTGGAAAACAACGATAACACATCTGAATTATGTGCCAACCTATATTAACCAATCACTCATTTGAGTCAAAACTACCTTACCCTTCACCTGCTCCAACCTTATAGGCTTAGTTGTCGGGTCGGAAGAGATTTCAACCTGAAATCGACGAAATCGATCCTTAAGTGTATTGAAGTGGGATATTTTGTAGCGAACTCTCGGGTAGACTCACAAGTATTAAAGAAATTCCTTATTTGCCTCATCAATTATCAATTGACTAGTCAATTTGTTCCCACTGAAATGATGTCGGACTTCATAAGTCCTACTATTAGATGGACCATCGAGGTTGTAGGTAATCGTCATTTTATTGTAATAAACTCATTTTAAAAGAACTCATTCATTATCATGCTCACAAAACTGCGACCACATTTTTCATATTTGTCGACCCAGTGAGTATCCATCATCTCGAATGTACATTTCAAGTTGATTTCTCGTTTTTTTATGATAATACATTCGTTTGATGAATATCAATTTAATATACAATTGTGTATAAATATTTGTCTGTGGTTGTCGTTGTTTTTGGGCGGACGACAGTCATCACAAATGTTCCGTTGGTGTCTCTGTCGCCATCGTACAGAACCTTGTGCTAATCGTCGCAGTGCTATCGTCAGTTCTGGTAGTACTGCCTCTTGCAAGTCAGGGTACAGCATCATTGGAAGAATCTCACTGGGTGTCCTACCTGGTCGCTGGAGAGGCGGTACTCCCTAGATGCCGACACCGTCAACTTGCTAAAGCGCTACTATTAATGCTAGTAGTTTTGGTAGTTGATTGGTGACCACCTCTAACCTCCCCCCCCCGTTGGAACCATTCTTGGGAAAATGATGAAGTTGTTATCCAATTGGGATAATTTCGGAAGGCGATAGGTTGCATGGGAAAAGGGGGTCGTAGACAATAGGGGAGGTACTGATGATGCGGCCGTTTCACCCATCCCTATTTAGTTCCCCGTTAGAAGTCCTGGTCGTCCGATGGGTCATCGCTGCGGCTCGAATGCTTCACTTTTTTCGTTCTGAGCTATTAGGTGGCGGGATAGTTATTAGGTTGGCGGGAAAGTTCTGTCATACTTTTTTGAACCCAAGTATTTGCCTATTACCTGAAGAGGGTTAACCGGTAATGTGAGCAGTTATACATCAAGGATTGGTCTTTCTATTGGTATCACTGGCTCGACTCCTGCTTCTCCTTATTCTGCAATATGGACAAGAATGTTATCCGCTACCTTCGGCACGACCCCTTCAAGCGCTTCCTTCAACTCTTTCTTCTACCACCCTGGCGCCAGCATGACAGCTGTCGACGCCGAAATAATGGAGCTGCATAAGGACAATGTCTCCAATTATCAGACGATCTTCCACGACGGTAGCGCTCCAGAGCGGGAGCCTACGGTTTGAATGACGAAGTGAGGTTTGGGAGTACCTGTGATCTCAGCTTGAGATAGCTGTGGGCCGGGAAACTACTGGATGAAGAAGCTGCCTCCTCGGTCAATGCGTACGCAAAGCAGCTACGAGATCTGAAGCGAATCGTCAAGCAGAGGGAAAAAATTCGCCGGCACAGTCCGTCTTCAACGTGCTGGTGTGGCCCACTCCGTCCAAAAAAGTTCGAGCCGAAGCCATGCTATAGAGCTGGACGGCTCTACCCTTGCACCGGTGTAGTCCAGACATTGCTCTTTCTGACTGCTAGTCGCCTCCCGTATTCAACCGTTATACAGCCGAGAAAACCTCCACGACTTGAGCCCAAGTCAAAGTTGAGATGATGTCCAACTTTGCGTCGCGCCGGCGTGCATTGTTAAGCGATGGCATCCACGAACTGTCCAAAAACTGGCAAGGATCTCTCAATAACATTGCTGTATAATTTTGATCTTGTACGCCTCTCTGTAAAAAGAAAGTCTAATTTGAAAAAATGTGACAGAACTTTCCCGCCAACCTAATAAATTGTCTTCCAT